GTTTAAGGGGAAATGATTTTACTTCAGAAACCAGACAACATGTCAAGAAAAAAGTGGGACATTAGAAGTTTCAAATTCTTGATGTGCTTAACTTCCTGGCCATCTAGTTGAGTGATACTTGAGTACAACTCATTCATTCATCATCGTCAGATATATTATATACAGTTGGTAAGGTCTTAACAATTAAACCTCTGATTTAAACATTCTCCTTCTGGTCGATCGCACCCTTCTCCTCGGTGTGCATCCATACTTCCACCTCAGCAGCCTCACCCTGTGGCAGATGACGAGCCATGGAGACAATATCCCACGGCGTCGGGGCATCGCGGAAGACGTGATTCAAAGCCTCCAGGTTTCGGTTCATCGTCTCGGGGTAGAAGAAGTAAACCGAGATTGGAATGCAGGCCGAGATCACAGCGTACATAATGTAGTACTTGTATCCGATGGTGTCGAGCGCGACCGGAGTAATCATGACGACCACAAAGTTCCACAGCCAGTGGTTGCCAGTCGAGATGGCGGACATGGCGACACGGAGACGCATAGGGGCGACTTCGGTACAGTAGAGGAAGTTACCGCCGAGGAAGCCGACAGGATAGAACGAGTTGAAAAGAAAGATGAAAGCAGCCGAAACAATCGAAGCATTTCTGTTGTCCTTGAAGCTGTCGGTGATGGCGAGGACAGTCATGCAGACCGACATACCGGTACCGCTGATAATGAAGATCTTTCGGCGGCCGAGTCGATCGATGGCGAAGAAGGCGATGAAGCTGCAAAGGAACTTCCAAGTCATGGCACATGAAGACAGAATGCGAGCCAGGTCGCTGTCCATGTGCAGGTTCTCTTGGAAGATTGTTGACACGTATGTTGAGATCAAGTTGCCACCACACATCTGCTGGAAGAATTGCAGTGCGACGCACAGACAGAATCGGTATAGAAGACGCTCATCGTCGGGTTTGCTGAAGCTGAGGATATCTAAGAGGGAGGCGCTGTCGACCGTACTCTCAAGGGAGGTCTCGATACCAGCGATTTCGACACGGACGGCCTCATCATCTTCCGACAACCCCTTGTAGGCAGCTAGACTGCTGGTGGCCTCTTCAATACGACCAACTCGCACGAGCCATCGAGGAGACTCAGGGAGCAAAAAGACCGAAAACAAGACAACGACGGAGAAGAAAATGGAAATTGCCAAGGGAACACGCCACTGCAGTGAGCCGGAGATTTTGCTCAAGCCAAAATCAATCCAGTTACAGAGAACGTAACCCAAACAGATACAGATACCATCCACGACAACGTGTTGTCCACGATGTTTGGCTGACGTGCACTCGGACTGCCAAACGGGAACGGCGACACTCAATTGACCGACACCGAGACCGAGGACGAGACGGCCGACGACGAATTGGGGGAGTCCATAAGCGGCGGTCTGCAGCACTTGGCCGATGATTGTAAGAATCGCACCTAAAAAGATGGTCTTGCGGCGACCGAGGCGGTCACCCAGGAATGTACACGACAAGGCGCCAAACAGAGCGCCAAGCTGGAAGGATCCGATGACGGCACCTTTGCTTGTGGAGTTTTTTGCGCGTTGGGCGCCCGTAGTGTTGATTGTGTCAATTTCAGGGAACAACCCGACCCAGCTCTGCAATGTGGACAGAGGGCCCAAGCCAGACTGGTTGTAACCGAAGACGATGAAGGCCGGCGCTACGATGAGCAAGGCCTGAGCTACGCTCAGCGCCTTTCCTCGGAATAACGTGGGCATGTCGAAGTGTGTGTATGAAAGGTCAGCCTGAGGGATGTGAGAAGCAGAGGGAGAATGGTGGCCGGTCTCTCTAGGGGTTTATACCCTTCCACGGTTAACCCTTCTCGTGGAGACCCCGCATCAAAAAAATTCATCCATGTTCTGTACAGATTACCTGTGGGATGGCGAATTTCACAGTGGATTACATCTATCCACCAAGGTGCCACATTTTAGTCAAATTCCCACAAATGTCCGACTGTGACTCGATCATGTCGCCGACTCCACGGGGTATGTTTGGTCCCGGTGTGCAAGGATCCCGCGCTTCGCCACTCCCGAATCCCGAATCAAAACCACCTCCCCCTCCCCTGGTGATCTATTAGGGTCGACAACCAGAATTGGTGGGATGATCTGGGCTGTCGTTCAGGGCTAATTGGGGGGGGGGGCGAATACCGAATGATGTACGGACCGATCCCATGACTCTGCATCACAGGGAAGGCGAAAGTGTTTAGGGTAACTTGTTTTCCGACTGTTGCATGAAAGTTTTCCGGGTTTCGGTTTAGTTTACAGGTGGTCACTCATTGCCTAACTCGGCGACATTGATAGGTCCAGAAAAGGCTTGAGCTAGCCCCAAAGGCTTGTCCACCGCCAAGCGCTAAGACATACCGATGTAAATTTAACCTGTGGGGTAAGGGGAAATGCAATGCACCCCACCCTCTCGGTCACTCTCCGGATTTGTATTACCGTACCCTGTTTCTTACAGATCGTGGGGGATTGTATCGAAAAAAAAAGAGAGTCTTCTCGGTAGGCGAGCCACGTTGTTCTTTACGATCTGTTCGGTATACTCCCTAGTGGATCCCTTCCCGTCTTCCCCGAGAGATGTCCGAGAAGAATTGTTGAGAAGACTCGGCATGAAACCGCCACACCGTGGACGTATTCGGCTCACCCGTCGTCAGAGATTTCAACATTATTTGCGGGGTCTAGCGGATGTCTATGATAAGGTAAAATAGCTGACGAATGACCACATGGATGAAGGAAGCAAAGGTCAGCGGTTTTTGTAACGGCCCAAGTGAAAGAACCAGCATCAAGTTACTCCGTACACCGTACACCGTATAGCTTGGAACCTAACAAATGGATGTTCTCGGCATTTCTCTCCCGCAATGTACTGGTATGTTCCGATTACATCTATCCCTTCAAATCCTTGGTCAGGCCATAGTACAGAATTTAATCACATACGATTGCAGCGGTAAAAACTTATATCGGTTAGCCACGGAGGACCATTTGCCTGAGAATCTTTAATCTCGGGAATCCTGGGCTCTGAAGGATTCATATAACAAGTATGTTGTCTTCTGTACGGAGTACTCCGTCTTGATTTTCAAAATGGCCCTAGAGATTAATGGCTGCATCACATTCACATGCCTTCTCTGTGTGTGGCCCGGTTTCTTGCCCCCGTGATGTAGTCCGACACTTGGGGTTCGACCTCCCTGGCAATTCAACGGGGGTTCGTTTCATTTCAACAATCCAAGGTACCCTCTTGGCTTAATTGCTCACCGCAGAGATCAATCTCCTGAACAATACCACCCGCTAATAGCTTCGGGGCCTTCCGCGGAAGAGATCGTTAAAGTTGCAACGGTCAAAAGCTCATGAACATCCCGGGCCCCTGATCATGGCCTCTGCCAAGGCAATTGCATACGAATTACGTAGTAGATTTAGAGCAACTGGATTGAAAGCTGGTATAGTATTTCCGGGTAATACCATAGCCATTCGACTAGAATTCAATTTAAATGTACTCTGATCTGTGGATTTTGGAGCACAGAAACCAATGCAACCTCTCACCGAGAGTCAAAATCCTTGAAGGCCAGAACTTCGGTTCAAACTCTAATGCAAACTTTGATCGTGTATGTTTTGTAGTTTATTCTCCTGTCGGTCAAGTTGAAGAGTGAAGAAACCCTATGTTGTGGTCGTTACACTGACAGATTGGTTGAAACAACCAATTCGCCAAAAATCTCCTCTCTTAACAGAAGGTCAACCTACCATGAAAGAATTTTAATACCATCAGCGATAAGCTTCGACGATGTTGTATGCACACAAACGTAATAGATAGTGGACGCCTGGGCTGTGACCTTGACCGTTCTGGGAAACGACGTAAGAAATCGACTGCCCGATGGTGTGTGTGCGAGGCTGGGTGGATCCTGAGATCTGAGGCTCACAGGACAACCATCTTCTCGACGTCGTCTCCGGTTTTGATAGTGATACACATTAAAGCGCTGGCTGAGATGATAACATCAAGGGTCGAGGTGAAACATCGACTGCACCATTGCCTGCATCTAAAATTCTGTCAGCTAAACGCTGGTGTGCACCAGAGCAAGTTGCTACAATTATGTAGGCCTTGATCGCCAACTATATCTCCACTATCGCAGCCTCATCTCCATGTGTGCCTGGATGATAGCGAAAGGGTCATGTGGTTCACTCGAGTTGATCGAAAAACAAAATCAGGCTTATAGGTAATTGCAGATTGATGCCCCTATATGACATTCGAATTTAGATCCAATTTAATCAAACAGGGGAGGGAGGTATGATTTCTTTTTCATGCGATCAAGTAGGCAGAATTAAAAGCGGTCGGGAATCAGCGAATTGCAGTCTGCACTGCTGAATGACCTCACCTTGGCAGGTAATTTCCAGCCTATCTTTCCCCTACCACCCAAGTTCACGTTGTCGCAAATCACAATGGACACGCAAGAAGATGTTGTGCCAACCGAGTCCCTTTTCCGCCCAGCAAAAAAGCGCAAATTCATGCGACGACGTCCCGATGATGAGACCCCAGACATTGAAGAGGCCGATGACCAAAATGGCAATCCTGGCGCGTCGCAAGCTTCGGGGAGCAGTAATCTTCGGCGTCCACGCCCAATTAGAAAGGGCGGCATTGGATTTTCTACCGAGTCACGACTAGGAGATAATCAGGGCCAGCAAGTAGCACTATTACCAGCGGCAGGAGAATCTGAGGATGAGAAAATACGAGCAATGAATGAACGTTTCACAGGATATTCCGGTCAGACAGTGGATGTTGACAAGCACATGTACGAATCTTTTCCTACAGCTGATCGTCTCCTTCGTTTAATGTGGACTAACGAGATAAGGATGGCATTCATAGATTCCGAGATGGCTAAGCGCTACCAACCTGAATCAAAAGTGGATCATTCAGGTTCCATACAACCAACCCAAGAGGAAGTCTCCGGAGGGCTGTCGCTGCCTGGACATCAGACACGCGAACCTGCATCGCTAGGCAAGCTCCATGAAATCGATCTCGGTCAAGAAGCCACATTGCGAAACATTGCGCGGACAGAGGCCGCGACTCGACAGATGGCTGAGAAGGGAGAACTGCCAACATCGGCGGATTATGCTGCATCAGAGATGGGTCGTCCTGGCCCAGACGGCAAGTCGTGGCGCAATCGGAAACAGAGGACAGATGCCGACATTGCAAGAGATCGTCTTGTAGAGGAGGTACTACGTGAGAGTAAATGTGGGTTGTACTCAATCGAAATCTCACAGAGTCGTTGTCTTTGCTAACACTGCTGTCATAGTGGAAATATATGACGAACACGAGGAGGAAACCCAGCTTGATGACCAACAGGCGGCTGATGACCGAGTTGCTGAGCAATTCAGACGAGACTTCATGGATGCGATGCAGTCTCGGCGTCGGACTCGACCCGCAACAAAACCGGTGGCCAATATTGAAGCGCCTCGGGGTCCGAAGCTTGGAGGCAGTCGCAGTGCAAGAGCTGCAATGCGGGAAAAAGAAGCACAGGCGGGAAAGAAATAATCATTGTCCTCAGCCAACACGGCTGGCTTTCCCTTGTATGGACTTATTGTACTTAATCCTTTGCAACATCTGCTTTTACTCGATACACATACGATACCATAGTGACTTTGCGCCAATGCTATTTCTCACCTCCTTTTCGACGTGCCGCAGACTGACCACACTATATTGACCGTGGGTGATCGGTGATTTCTGGCCAACCTTATAGTTCCTTCTCCTTGCTAAAATCAAAGAGGAAAAAAAACCTTCGAAGTATCTCGGGTACAAGGTTTACAGAACTATCTCAAGTCCAAATAAACATGTAGTTATAACGAAAACCCTAACCCTTTCAAAGACAAAGGCCGCCTAACCAGCTACCAATTTTCTGTATGATGTATGCGGAGACATGCCATGAGGTTGTTGTAGACCAATGCCTTCATATAATATTTGGCCAAGTCTCAGATTTATGTTTTAGATAAGAGACCTAAGATGCAAAGGAACAAATTCGAGGAAAAAAAAGGTAAAGGAATTGACATCTTGTCTGTCAGCCACATCTGGACCAGTATAGATCGTTTTGCTTCTCTTCTTGAGACGTTTCGGATTATAGGTAGACCCGACCGACTCACCAGTTTGTCTTCAATTTCTCGCACGGAGCAGGTACCTTGATTAAAATCCTCTTTACATCATCATCACTTGACTATCAAAACGGTGAGAACATCTAAAGGGCCGTGCTTAATGTCCTACCTAGGTACCCTTGGGAGGCCTGTCCGATTAGTCATCATAGCTGTTGTTGTAGGCATCTGGGAGGTCCAAGGTTAGAATGACTAAGCCTGAGATTGGACTTCCCGTTTGGGTTCCAATGCCAAAGCTAAACCCGCACCAAAAAGACCCGCCCTGCTTCTGCCTCCAACCAGCCCCTCTGATTGTCTGTCCGATACGCATGGTCACGTCTTGATTTGTCTTCAGGCAACTTAATTCAAAACTATTCACATGATACTTGTGACAGTTCCAACCCCCGTCCTAGATATACCCGCACAACTTTCGCGATGAACCCTTCCAACCCACCTCAAGCTGCCGAGTACGGTGGAGGTATGTGAGCCCAGATATACCATTCCAATTGCGCCTGCTGCTATGATCTCAAAGAACACTTGGTCGCTATCAACCGCGCAAGATGCTAATAATCGCGTGACCATAGATGAGGTGTCAGCTATTGTCCTAGACCCGGGATATTCAACCACTCGCGCGGGCTTTGCTGGTGAAGATGCTCCGAAGTCGCTGATCCCAACCTGCTATGGAAAATACAACGCAGATGGCCAAGAGAAGCTCGTATTTGGCGATGACGTATTCGTTACCCCACGACCCGGCCTTTCCATCTACAACCCGATCGGCAAGGATGGAATCGTTGAGGATTGGGATATGGCAGAGAGGGTGTGGGAGCACTCATTTATTTCGCGACTCACCGGCACGAAAGCGGGCAACCCCTTCCAGAACGGATTAAACGATGTCTCCGCAGATGAGCTCCCTACCGAAATGGAGGTGGAGTCAGAGGAGAAGCCTTTGTCGGACAGCCCACTGTTGATGACAGAGCCTGGATGGAACCCGGCGAAGGCACGCGAAAAGACCATTGAAATTGCAATGGAGAAATGGGATACCCCGGCCTTTTATCTCGCGCGCAGTGGTGTTCTTGCTGCGTATGTATCCCAGGCCCATTGACTGTCGCATCTCGACCATTCGCTGACCCAATACCACGCGTAGTTTCGCTTCTGGCAAGGCTTCTGCCCTTGTTATTGACATTGGAGCTTCCAATATCTCTGTTACCCCAATCCACGATGGCATGATTCTGAAACGGGGCGTGCAGCACTCTCCGTTGGGCGGTGATTACATCTCGTCGCAGATCAAGGCAATCTTCAAGGCCAACTCCCCACAACCCATCACAATCACACCGCATTACCTCATCAGCTCGAAGTCAGCCGTCGAAGCTGGCCAACCACCCCAAGCGAATTACAAGACCTTCCCCGCCGACAAGGCACCCGACGCGTCGTACCGTGCTCTGCTTGAGGAGCGCACACTGTCCGAGTTCAAGGAATGTGTCGTCCAGGTTTGGCCCGGGCCTACAAGGCTCTCAGCCCCCAGTCCCACGGGCGTCTCCAACGAAGAAATGGCCCGAACTACCCCCGGTCGCCCATTCGAGTTCCCCGATGGATACAACCAAGTCTTCGGTGTCGATCGTTTCCGTGCGGTGGAATCTCTGTTTGATGCCAAGGCTGCCCTTCCAGACCCCGAATCGTCTTACCCTCCCCCAACACCGGCTCAGACTATCCCAGAACTTGTCAGGGCTTCTTTGGCTGGTGTTGATGTCGACCTCCGCCCCCACCTGCTGGCTAATGTCGTTGTGACCGGTGGATCCAGCTTGCTCTATGGCTTCACTGATCGGTTGAATCATGAACTGATGCAGATGTTCCCTGGCCCCAGGGTGCGGGTCACTGCTCCCGGTAACACCTCCGAGCGCCGCTTCGGCTCCTGGATCGGAGGAAGTATCCTGGCCAGTTTGGGAACTTTCCACCAAATGTGGATATCCAAGAAGGAATATGAGGAGCATGGGCCGAACATTGTGGAGAAGCGTTGCAAATGATTCCATTTTGTTGCATTTCACCCCACTTGGTTTTTGTTTTTGATGTTTATGGGCGTTACTGCGCTACCCTTGGGCGCTTGAAAGGGGGTTTTGAGCAACTCCGGATCTGGCCTGTCTGCAAGGAAGGACCTACAAAACTGATCTTGATATTTCGTGTACGACTAATGCCACTTGATTTGATTTGTCTGAGAATAATATGCAAGACATGAAGGTGCACAGCAGTGTAGATCAACTATGCAAAGATATGTGCGGGGGCACTGGGGAGTGATGGCAATGACATCTGATCTATGTGAGATGGACTTGTTTTTCCGGCTTTCCTATAATCGTCCACAAGGTCCAGTGTTCAATGTGAGAAGTCTATTGGCGGAAATGCTTATTCTTCTGCATCGATGCGTTGGCAGCCAACACATCAAAGCCGGAGTGGTCCGTGTTTCAATTATATATGTTGGCCATCCCTGCCCAGGTGGACTTTCTGATAATTTCTTCCCCCATGAGCATTGCCAAAACACTCTTGTGCACATTGATTCGGGAAAACGACCAGGAAAAAAAAAAGGAAAAACACAACGGAAATCAAACGCAGCGCACATAATCATTGACATATATCATCATCATCATCGTGAATTCGAGAATCCATGAGTACAAGAAAAAAAAAGCAAGACTATACCGTCAACATCGTTACATCCGAGGCTGCGGACCAAACACGCTAGAGTCTACAGTATATGAAAACAATCAAAATGTGAGACGGTCAAGGGCATAGAAATGGAAATGAAAGGGATATCGTGAGTCGAGGTTAAAGGTCAAAGTTGGCAGACTCACAAGGGACAGTATCCTCACCGGCTAGCTCGGGCAATGAGCCAGTGTAGGACAGCGTCAAGATTGGTCTCCTCTTTGGCGCTGATACCATAGCAGCTTACTTCTCGGTGGGTGATGGATTTCAGGTCCATCGCCTCGATGATCTCATCAACAGACAATTTGTCTGGAAGATCGGACTTGTTCCCGAGGACCAGGAGGGGGATGCTATCCAGCGTTGGCTTTTCCATTAGGTCGTGAAGTTCCTCCATCGCGACTGGGAGAGCAGCGCGGTCTGCTGCATCCACAATATACCTTGGTTGACTTTGGTTAGCATTCCGGAAGGGAGAAAGGACCCGTGAAACGAGGAAATAAGCCAGTCTTACACGATCGCGTTGACGCCCCGACAATACCGTTCCCACATCGGCCGAAATCGAGGTTGGCCGCCCAGATCCCAGCTGCGGAGATGTGTTAGCGCTGCTGTGCTTGATCGGAAAGGAAGAACATACCACTTCAGGGTCACATGGCCTTTCTGCACTTTTTTGGTGTTGAATCCGATTGTTGGGATGGAGCTACACGGATGAGATTAGAGACTGGCTAGGATTGAATGATCTCAGATGTGAGATCATTTACAACCTACTCAACAGTGAACTCTCCACCCTACTCCATGCCGTCAGCAACCGGGACCCATAAGGACTAATCAGATTGATTTACCGCCAACACGCGCAGCAGAGAAGATTTTCCGGCATTCTGAAGACCGATCATGGTGACATCCATCTCACTGGCCCTACATGGAGTTCAGCACGGCTTCATCAGCGGGGACGGGCCGTGGTCTCCCGAGGACTGCATATATCAAACGGCCCACTTACCAGAACATCCTCAGAAGCCAGTCATAGATAGCACGAAATATGCCGGCCATGGCGATGAGAAGGGAATGTGAAAATGAAAATGAAAAGGAAAAAAAGAGAATGGAGAAAAGAGACAGTAGAGTAAAAATAGAACACCCCAAAAAAGAAATCCAGCCAGGGAGATTAAGAACTGAGAAGTTGCCTTGTGTGTGGAAAAAGCTTAGGATGACAAAAGCCAGAGAGTGGGGTCAATTTTGTATCAGCGTAACAGGCTGATGTTGTTGATTTCTTGATTTGACAAAGAGATCAAAGGCAAGGGAAAGGCAAAAAGAAGAAGAAAAATATGAGAGCGTCACACCGTAACAAGAAATCAACCCAGATGCAATAATTTAAAAGGCCTATCATTAGAAGGAACGGTGTTTTAAGGGGATCACCGCCGGCAGATGTTCATAGAAAAGGACATTGGATCTACAACTGTCTAGGGAGAATTGACCAATCTACCTACACACATGACCTGAGGGCGCTTACGCTCCATTGGCCTCAAATTGAAGGGAGGGTGGACAGCGTTGTGCAGCATATCCAGCCCGTGTGGCGTATGTTGTAGTTGCAGATTTCCACAATTCTAGCCGTTAGTCTTGCAAGTTAAATCAATCTAGAGTTTAGGATTAGGGGGATCAAGAGAATAAGTTGCAGTTGAACTAGAGTTTCTACAACAACATGAACAGGATGAACAGGATGAACACACTGAACCTCAGTTTGGGCACCTCAGGCCATGATGCATATCACCACGTGATGATAAGCTTCCGGCTCCACCCTCGAAAAATTTCCCCAAGCAGAACAGACCTCTCGTCTTCGTTTGGCAGCTGCTATTGTCGGTTCAATTCCTGTGGTCTAGTGGCTGATATTACATTGGGCGGAGGAATCGAACCGATCCAGTTGGGCTTTAATCTTTACATTGAAAGTCACATTTATTGTGCCATTTGGTCTTTCTTTTTTTCTATACCGCATCAACCGGCTTCTGAGAGCTGCGAATCTCCATCATGGCGCCCGCAGCCACAGAAACGCAGTGGTCAGTCGAATACGACACTCTACGACGGGAGAACCTGTTCAAGAATCCTCCGACGGATCACACAGCTTATCCATCGTTGGCCGAGTCGATTCGACCGCATATTGATTCTTTCAATGCTCTCTTCGACGACAGCAAGATCCTAGAGGCAGGTTTGAAGGATATCGGTATCAAGACCTTCCTAGATGGTGAACTCGAAACGTATGAGCAGAAGAAGGCACGCCAAGCAGAAGGCATTCGCCCACCGAAGCGGAATCGCTTAAACGTCCGCGTGCGTGAAATCTTCCTCGACAAGCCTACCCTGCCTCCCGCCAACAAATACGCCACCCGAAACCGTGAAATCTACCCTTCAGAATGCAGAGAGCGCCATTCGACGTACCGTGGAAAGCTCCGTGCTCGTCTCGAGTACCAGGTCAACAATGGAGACTGGATGGAGTCTGTCCGCGAGCTGGGTAATGTCCCGATTATGGTACGCACCAACCGGTGTCACCTTGAAAAGGCTACTCCCGATGAACTTGTTCGACACAACGAAGAATCGGAGGAACTAGGTGGTTTCTACATCGTCAACGGTAACGAGAAGCTCATTCGTATGCTGGTCGTCGGCAAGCGCAACTACCCCATGTCCATCATTCGTGGTTCTTTCGTCAAGCGTGGTCAGACCTACACAAAGTTCGGTGTTCAAATACGATCGGTTCGTCCCGATCAGACTTCGCAGACCAACGTGCTTCACTACCTTTCCGATGGAAACGTCACCTTCCGTTTCTCATGGCGCAAGAATGAATACCTTATTCCCGTGATGATGATCCTCAAGGCACTTGCCGAGACCAACGACCGCGAAATATTTGAGGCCATTGTCGGTGGTGCTTCCTCCAAGGGCATGAAGAACACTTTCGTCACGGATCGTGTCGAGCTTTTGCTGCGAACCTACCATGCCTACCAGAAGCACAGCCAGTATGATTGCCGGTCCCACCTCGGCAAGGCTTTCCGACCTGTACTCGGAGTCCCTGCTGACATGCCTGACGAGGAAGTTGGCACAGAGTTCCTCCGCAAGGTTGTTCTCCCCCATCTTGGAAATGAGAATGTCACTGAGGCTCAAGACTGGGACAAATTCAAGTTGATTACTTTCATGATCCGCAAGCTTTACTCTACAGTTGCAGGAGACTGTGCTCCTGACAATCCTGATGCCGTCTCCAATCAGGAAATTCTGCTTGGTGGCTTCCTTTACGGAATGATTCTGAAGGAACGTATCGAGGAGTGGCTCCGTTCATTCGGCCCCATTGCTAGAGATTGGTCCATCCGCAACAACGGCGCAAAGTTCACCGATGAAGCGTTTGAGCGAGACTTCCTTTCCAAGATCGTCAAGCGATCAAACGAGAACATTGGTAATGCACTTGAGTACTTCCTCTCTACTGGTAACTTGGTCAGTCCTACTGGTCTCGATTTGCAACAAACCTCCGGTTACACCGTCATTGCAGAGAAGATCAACTTTTACCGTTTCATCAGTCACTTCCGAATGATTCACCGAGGTAGTTTCTTCGCTCAGTTGAAGACTACCACCGTCCGTAAGCTGCTACCAGAAAGTTGGGGTTTCCTTTGCCCGGTTCACACTCCTGATGGATCGCCTTGTGGTCTGCTCAACCATTTGGCGCACAAGTGTTTCATCTCGACGGACAACCTGGATGTATCTCAACTGCCTCGGACTCTGGTTCAGCTCGGTGTCCGGTCTGAGTCTTCCGTGGCTCTGGATGAGAGCGTGGTCGTCCAGTTAGATGGCCGAATCATTGGTTACTGCTCGCCTAAGCAGGCCCAGAGGATCGCCGATACCATCCGGTACTGGAAGGTCGAAGGCAAAAACAACATTCCTCGTGAATTGGAAATTGGATATATTCCCAACTCAAGCGGCGGTCAATACCCAGGTGTCTACATGTTCTCCCAATCAGCGAGAATGTACCGCCCTGTTAAGTACCTCGCGCTGGATAAGCTGGATTATGTTGGACCGTTCGAGCAACCCTTCATGGAAATTGCCTGTGTGGAGTCTGACCTGATCCCCGGTCTTTCGACCCACATCGAGTTTACGCCCACGAACATCCTCTCTATCGTCGCAAACATGACCCCCTTCTCCGACTACAACCAATCTCCACGTAACATGTACCAGTGTCAAATGAGCAAACAAACCATGGGTACACCAGGCACCTCGATTGCCCACCGTACCGACAACAAGTTGTACCGCATCCAAACGGGTCAAACGCCAATTGTACGGCCACCTCTCTACAACGCCTACGGTCTGGACAATTTCCCCAACGGAATGAACGCAGTTGTAGCTATTATCTCCTACACCGGATACGATATGGACGATGCTATGATTATCAACAAGTCCGCACACGAACGTGGCTTCGGCCACGGTACAGTCTACAAGACCAAGGTCGTCACTTTAGCCGACAACGATTCCCGCCGAACCAAGTCCAAGCGTGAGGTCACCAAGCTGTTTGGATTCGCCCCCGGCGACGAGGTCAAAGAGCAGGTGCGCAACATCATCGACGAGGACGGAATGCCGCACCTAGGTGCTCGCGTTAAGGAAGGTGACAAGATCGCGGCCTGGCACAACGTCCGCTTCGATCCCGCGTCTGACTCGTACGTCAACGTCGACGGAGTCACCCACTACATGAAATACAAGGATGCCGAAGAAGGTTACGTCGACAGCATCCGTCTCATGGGTTCCGAGTCTGGCAACGAGCCTGCTCAATCGCTCAGCATCAAATACCGCATTCCCCGAAAGCCCGTCATTGGTGACAAGTTCTCTTCTCGTCACGGTCAGAAGGGTGTCTTGTCTCAACTCTGGCCTGCGGTCGACATGCCCTTCTCTGAGAGCGGCATGCAGCCCGATCTGATTATTAACCCTCACGCTTTCCCGTCCCGTAAGGCCCCGTTACTCCTAAGATCAAAAAAAACTCACTCGTCTAACGCATTCCCAGGTATGACAATCGCTCAAATGATTGAGTCCATGGCCGGCAAAGCCGGTGCCATGCACGGTCTTCCGCAAGACTCCACTCCCTTCCAATTCTCCGAAGAAAACACCGCAACCGACTACTTCGGCGAGCAGCTCCGCAAAGCCGGCTACAATTACTACGGTAACGAGCCGTTGTACAGTGGTATCACGGGTCGCGAGTTCTCCGCCGACATCTACATGGGTTTGGTATACTACCAGCGTCTGCGTCACATGGTGAACGACAAGTTCCAAGTGCGTACCACTGGTCCCGTCAACGCGCTCACGGGCCAGCCCGTGAAGGGTCGTGCGAAGGGTGGTGGTATTCGTGTCGGAGAGATGGAGCGTGATTCGCTCATTGCTCACGGTGCGGCTTTCTTGCTGCAGGATCGTCTCATGAACTGCTCCGACGCCCAGCACACTTGGATTTGTCGCAGCTGTGGTTCATTCTTATCCACTCAGGTTGCTGTTTCTGGCTCCTCCCGCTCTCGCACCGCTATTAACCCCGGTGCAGCCGCGGCTGCTGCCAAGGCTGCTCCTAATCAGCAGAGCACTAATGCTCATGCTGGTTCTGCTATTGGTGCTTTGGGTGGTGTCAATGGTGTTGTGCGTTGCCGTCGCTGTGCCCGCGAGGCTACCTTTGATGACTCCCGCGCTGAAGTCTGGGAAGATGGCGATGGACACCGCTACGTTGGTGGTGACAATGTTACGATCGTTGCTGTGCCTGGTGTCCTACGGTACTTGGATGTTGAGTTGGCGGCCATGGGTATCAGGATGAAGTTCCTGGTGGAGAACTGATATACTGGTCTCTGACTGGGGATCTTGAAAAAAAAAATTCGTTTCAATGTTTCAATGTCATAGGTGGCGTATACCTGGTTTAATGATTATGCTCATCTGCTTCTTGTTCTATTTCAATTTTTTTTTGCAAATATTCTTTGGTGTCTGAACTGCATTTCCTAACAAAATCACAAGTGTTCAAGAAAGAAATCGAGGTTTGTGTATAAGCTTAAGCTACTTCCAGCTACAATCAATCCTCTCTACCAAGGCGTTCAACTATCTCAGGATCTCATATAAACAAGAGGAATAATCATTTCACTGATAAAATGTTTTGGTACATATCAGTCTCGCTATACTCTCAACACTTCCTCCAGATTTCGAATCTCAGATATTCGCCTGAAACCGAGCCTTACTCCCCTTCGAGCTCACTCTGAACCGGTGTGCCCAGACGGGAACCCTTGTGCGTACCTTGTTCTAAAGTAAAACATTCAACTCAGCATAAGAGCGGTCTTTGGGCTCAGGAAGTTTGAAGAACGACCAAAAAAGATGGAGAACGCACAGTCCGTCCCCAAAGGATCCTGACTTGGCCCTTCAGTCTCACACACCCACATTCAGCATATAAGGAGTAATCATGCCAATCACCAGATCGAGCACGTATACATAGTTCTCGTCAGCACAACCATCTTAGTGCGGAGTCAAGACGAAGGCATATCTGAAAACAGCGAGATACAAACTGGCCCGATAGTCGAATCATACACGAGCAACACAACACAGATCCCGTGGCCCACGAGAGCGAGGTAATCACCGGCGCGGTCTACATGAACCCAATCACCAATATGATAACAGCCAAGATCGTTGAACCGCCCACGTATAGCGTGAGACGACCGAAGCAAGTCCAAAAAAAAAAAACGCTACGAGCTAAACATACCAACAACTTCAATCCCATATTGCGCCAGCGAAATCGTGAACGACTGCGAGTCAGCCAGCCCAGCACGCTGGTAGAAAACGGTATTCCATTCGACAACTGCCACACAGAATCTGCACTGCCCATACACAGCACGCGATCTCCGTGCGTCGCAGGTCAGTCCCCTCAAAGCGATCCATTTCCGAAGCACCAGCCTCGGTCTGCTACTTTATGGTATTCGTATACACAACTATGGAAACAATTTCCTCCGCGCTGTAATTTTGGTCTCCGCGCGCGTGAGCTGCTTCAAACACTTGATGATGTCTTCGCGCCTGCCCTTCTGCACAAGCCACCGCGGGTTCCTGGGTACGAGGCACACTCCGATGAAGATCCGCACCGGCCACACTCACTGGATCCCAAGGGGAATGCGGTCTACACACTGGTCAGTGCCAATGGAGGCTCTGACGATGATTCCAGGTTCTGCCATGTTGTGAACTGAACTAGATCGAAGATTGGTATTTCATGCGGGCGTCGTCGGAAATTTTTGTACAAAATTGTGCCGATGGTCGTTGATGGTAGTCCATAATGAGCGATGACAGGACCGGCGTTCAATTGGGCCACTCATCCGTTGAGTCCAATCCTTTTTTTAGTTTATTCAACGAGTAGGAAGAGTGGCAAGGGGAGACTTGCCAGGGTTGATCTGCACTGAGTGAGCTTGAGCCAGCCCACCATCCTCCGATTTTCTGGGAGAGTCAGAATTGACTTAATGCTGGTCCAGGTCGGGATCAGGGTCCAGCTAGTGCTCTGTATCTTTTTCGGGTTTGCTATGTCCTCTGGCCGTGCATCGTGTTGGCCACTTTAGGGCTGTTGGGTTTCCCGAATCGGCTAGAGTCAGCTGGAAAGCGCGGGCTGATTGGTGAGATGTCGGCCCGACATGTTTACCCCTCTCACCATCGGTCGATTGAACTTGACGGAGATCAGTTAGGCCCGGAAGAGAGACGAATCGGCATAAAGCACCCTCGGTATTTCACATGATTAGATAGTTGGACAGATCGGGATTCTCTCCGGATCGTGCGATTCAGTGGGAAGTGGAAATCCCTGCTATGCTGAAACAACCCCTGACTCTAACCAAAAAGGCCGCAGATAAATGAGTGGTGCAAGTCCTCACCGATCATGACTGTTGGCCCGACAATGAGTCAGTGAGAGATCACTTGCCCTCCCTACAAGGGTATCGGAGGAGCCTGGACTCCATCGAGCTATGGAGAGGTACATAGCGCAACGATCATCTAAACCCCAACGGTGTAGCCGTATATAATATATTGCTTCCTCGGTTTCTCGGATTTTGGACTTGGTTTTTTTTTTCTCTTCTAGTACCTTTGATTGGATTCAAACTTCCTTATATTCATCATGTCTCCTGCTATCGTGAGCGAAAAGTGGTGGAAAAATTCCATCATCTACCAAATCTACCCCGCGAGCTTCAAAGATTCCAATGGCGATGGTATTGGTGACATCCAGGGCATTATCTTGTCGCTCGATTACATCATAAGCCTTGGTGTAGATGTGATTTGGCTGTGTCCCATGTACGACAGCCCGCAGATTGACATGGGCTACGATGTTGCCGACTACCAAAGCGTGTATGGCCCATACGGCACTGTCCAGGATATGGAGACCCTCATCGATGCCTGCCACAAGCGAGGACTTCGAATAATTTTAGACTTGGTGGTGAATCACACCTCGGACCAACATAAATGGTTCAAAGAGTCCCGCTCTTCAAAGGTAAACACCAAGCGCGACTGGTACATCTGGAAGCCCGCAAAATACGACAGCAATGGGAGTCGCCAACCGCCAAACAACTGGCGCAGTATATTTGGAGGCAGTGCGTGGAAGT